GAGGACAGTATTTACTGATCTCTATTTAGAATCTGCTTGGAGGATTTTTGAAGACAAAAGGATAAGCTTGTCCTATTGGCTAGGTTTTTTCTGTACTCTGGTGGTTAGCTTCTTTCTTGCCTCTTAGTGGTATTGTTTGAGAATTAGTCATGATTGTGTGAATGAGGCTTTTGAAAATTGTTTTCATGGATGCATTTATCTTAGCTTCCTTTTTGAAAATGCTCTGCCTGGATACTAGGAGATCCTATAAGACATAAAACAGTTTAAAGTGCTTTTAGTTGCAGAGAGTCTTCTGAAGGCTCCAAAATGATACTGGATCTTGTGGAGGAAAATATTTTCCAATTTTCTGTGAATATACATTTCTCTTTGTGTGTATGTATATATAAAAAGTTAGGTGGTTATAAAATCTTAGGTTGGAAAATATGTTTAAGAAACATTAATGCACACTTTAAGGCGGGGACTGCACAAAAGATGCCCTAACACATTTAATGCCCTAGTTAAATGTATTGCACAAGTCCCATTTTCTGGAGCTGGGTAAACAGAACATCTTTCTCTTTCTATTCTAAGCTTCCACTTCCCCCCGCCAGCCACTTCAATGGCACAATAAGTGGAGATCTTATTTCCTGCCCCTGCAGACCTATTTACCTGAATGTCGAAGCTCACCCTTGCCTTTCTCAGGTCTACCCTTCCTGAAATATGCTTTTCCTTTCATCTCCCTGCCTCCTTTGCCCTGGTTTTTTAAAGCCTCCTCTAATCCTGCACTCCATGTACTTTAATCTGTGATGTTGGACATTACCATTCTGCATAGCTGCCTTTAAGCATTCATCTCCCAGATTCACATTTTCTTCCATTATGAACTGAAATCCCTTTTCACAGTCTGCAACAGTGAAAAAAATTTTAAAATAAAGAACGATTATCAAAAGCCATTTCTGCCCATTTAAAATGCCTATTGGATGGTTTTATCCCCTTTGATAATTCCATTATCTTTGCAAACTATGATTTTGACTTATACTTCTTGTATGTGTGTGTATTTTTATTATAAACAGAGGGCACCTTATAAATGTCCACATGTCCTCTTGCCCTTTCTGGTCTTTTATTTTTAGACTTAAGAGAATTGGTGATTTTAAAATAATAAAAGGGGTACGTGTGTGTGTACTAATGACAGAGACTGTAGGTAACCTGCAAAGCCCGAAATACTTAATTTCAGGCCCTTTGTGGCAGAAGTCACTTTATAGATTTAACTCATTTAAAACATGTCTGTTTTGGGGATCTCCATTTGTTTTTCAAAGCAAAGTTCTCAAACGTGTAGAATAATTGAGTATGTTAGAGCTGGAACTGACTAGTTGAGGAAGGTTCTAGCTGTGGCCCCTGCTGCACCGGCTGGGCCTCAGCCTTCTGTCTGAGATGGTGTGGTGGGACTAGACGCTCTGAGATGGAGAGCATGTTGGGGTAGGTGTACCTGTCTGTGGTGTGCAAATGTCCATGGGAAACACCTGCCAGTGAAGCAGGAGGAGGCCTGGTAAATCACTGGTCATGGATAACATGTTTTTCATACCCTGGAGAGGATGTATTGTCCCACCCAGCCCTGGGCATTTCTGCTGCAGCAACAGGAAGGATGATTGAATTGTGTTTCCCATCACTTAATTGAGGTGGGGAATAAAATAGGTCACAGTTAAAAGAAAACAACATCTATTCAGGGCTGAAAGAAATGTGCCAGCCATGCTGGTTGTTGCAGTGAAATGTCTTTAATTCCTCTTAAACATCTTTTAAGCATCTGCTGAGGAATGTTAAATTAACCGGAGAATTTCTGGTGTCGTGTTGTCCAAAGCGAATATTGTACTGTTCATGTGGATGCCCCTAAGAGATTTTCTCTTTCTGCCTCTGGCGTCGTGGTGGTGCTGTCTGTACTATCTGTCTGTCTTTGACCTTAACCCCCTTGCCCTCGTATAGTTAGAGTGCCTAGCTCCAGAGTGCTATCTCCGGCTTCTGAGCTGTAGGATTACCCCACTTTGTGCCTCCTGTTTATATATAAAGCTTCTCTCCTCATGCTGTGCTTTTCTAATAAAAGGAAGCTGAAAGTTATAGATCTTTAGTTGCCCCTGAAAAACAAACCAAACAGAACAGTATGTTTGGGACTGATGTTATAGGGAGATGGCAAAGTAAACTTGAAATGGAAGCCCCCTCTCTTAAGTCCCATCTCTTAAGTCCCATTTTATTGTGGCCTTCGTAAAATCAAAATGCTGGAGCCCAGCTACTCTAGAGGCTGAATGTTCTCATGGCCACAGCATGCTTTGAAAACTCATCCCCACCAGACTTACAGTTAATGAAAATATTTGCTTTGCTTGATATAAACAAAGGTTATGTGCAGAATTCATAATTAGGAAACTCTTAATCCTCTTTTACCCTTCAGTCCCTAAGTTCTCTTGTATCATGTTGGACAATTCTAAGTAGTTAAGAAAATAAACCATTCATCAGTATTGAATTTTTAAAAATTTCTGGTGTCATTTATTTCTGGTAATATGTATTTCTCTCTTCCTTTGTCTCCCCATCCAAATTAAGGGACTTGAAATCTGGGTTTTTAATTTTGCTTATGTCAGTAGTAATACTCATATGTGAGTTGGGAGACAGTGCCTTTCATCAGGCCATGCCACAGTCAATGGACAACCCAGGTCTGTGATTTAGGCTATGCAAGAACAGCCACAGGCAATGTAGCTCTCTTTAAACCACATGGAAAACCAGTGTCACCTCTTCAAGGTCCTTATATATCTTATGTGTGTAACCCCCTCAGGCTGTGGGCTATGACCTCAGTGCTTTCCAAGCTCTTTTCTGTCTCCCAGTGTTTCTTAGGTAAACAACTATGATGCCATTCCTGTAGGCATAGCACTTGCTTGCATTCTTCACATGGGTATTAGGTGGTAGTGCGGGGACTGGTCATGAGAACAGGGTATTGGACTAGAGAAGATAACTGCCTCTCAGTTTTCACAAGTTCATTAGGACAGAGGGCATTCAGCCCCCATGCAAGTGGTATTATGGTGCAACCCCAGCTCTGCCTTAGGGTCTGTGTCCTTGCCAGGCAGTGGAGGGGGAGGCAACCTCAGGCATTGGCGAAAGGCCCCAAAAGGTGGTTTCTGAAAGATTCCATGGTCATCCACAGTGGTATAAGACTGGTTCTTCTGGCCCTGGGGATTGGTGACAGTGGTGTCTTCCAGTGTTGACTAAGGAAACAGGTTTGGCAAGGACTGTAAAAGATGCAGAGTTTGGGCAAGGACATTAGGGAGGAAAGGGCCTCTAACTCTGCCTACTATCTTCCCTTGGGGATAGAACTTTGTCTTGAGCATTTGCATAAATGCGCTTGCTTTCATATTTCCGTGAGGATTTTCTAATAATTCTAGTTTTTTCTTCAAATGCCAGTCATTTGGGCTGGTTGGTGATGAATCTTTAGTGTCCCAAGTTTATTAAAACCCTTTCCTGCATAGCTGGCCTAGGTGAGACCAAAATTATCTTTCTTTCTTTGCCGACATTCCCATGGTGGGGCTTTTCTGTTTGCAACTTTTCTGGTTTTGAGTGCCTTTGAAAGTAAGACCATGGTCCTGTGTCCCTAGTCTGTGGAGGGCATCATTCTACTTCCCCATAACTCCTAACATGAAAAACAGGCACAGTGATGCGATGTGGAACTTGATGTGGTTTGAGTCACATCCCTTTTGAACCTTGTACACAAAGATCTACAGCACTTGAGTTCCTATTTGATTAGACAACTTTCATTTTTTCTAATCTAGTCCTTGATTTTTTGCAGCCAGGAAGGCTTGGTGAGGACAAGTTGGATAACTTTTGTCAGAGATACTGATGTGCTTATGGAAAGCTTTATATATCTTTCCATTTCTGCTGTCTATAAGACTTGAAGATGCTTTATAATCAATAGGTAATGAGGCCATTGCCTTACTAGACTCTGATGTGGCCATGTGCTCTTTGAGCTATGGCCGTCACCATGTTTCCTAACTTTGGCCCTCTCACCTCCCTTGTGGAGGTGAATCCCACCCCCACTCCAATTTATTTTCTAAGTAAACTGTATTTTTCAATCTAAAAAACAAAAAGCAATAGGTCATGATACACCTTCTTTCCTTGCACATCCTCAGTGCCTTCTTAGTACATACTTTGGGGGGTGTGGGCAAAGGTGATTAGCAGGGAGGAGCAATAGGAGGAAAGTGTATTATCTGAATGCTTGAGGACTGGCTGTGTTTTTTTGGTTTTGGTTTTTGGAGAGACCTCTCGCAGCCAAGATATTCTCTTTCTTGTATAGTTTCTTTACTGTAATTGCATCCTCTATATTTTTCACCGACCCTGTAATGCCTAATTATTTCATAACAGAAAAGCTTTTTGGTCCCCAAGTTCACTTAGGAGTTGAATATCAGGGGAAACCTGACTAATAAGCAAGGCAAGGTTCCGGTCCTGTGACTGGTTTGGGGCTGGTTGAGTCTTAGGAGGGTGGCCCTGTCTTATGGGGAGTGTGTAATAGATGGGGTGAGAGAACAGAGGGATGGTGCTGGGAGGACATGGAAGTAGGCTGGACCCTCCCTTAGGCTTATTGGAGAGAAGCAGGGTAAGCCAGGGAGTTCTGGAAGGGTTAGCATCTGGAGCAGTTTACTGATACCCATGTAAAGCAAGTAAACCCCCTTCCTTACTTTAGCTGAAACTAAGGCTTCCTGTGGATCGTTTATACTTGACCTTGTTCTAATCTCAGTCAGTGACTTTCTGGACCCTTGGTTAGGAATGAAACCAGACCAGTCAGGGTAGTGCAGAAAGGAATATGGGGCAGAGTTCATTGGTGCTTGAGTGGTAAAACTTGAATTTTCCCTCACAGGATAGAATGTTTTCAGATTGATGTGGGGCAGTGGGAGAGTTTTAAAATATTCAACACACATCTGGTATATAGTTCTTAGGAATCAAATTCACACCAATTTGTAATGGATGGTCTAACCTAAAGTATTCTCTCTCCACTCCAGGAGGTGACTTTGGCCCAGATACTTCTCCAGTCCTGCCCCTTGGCCATGGTGGTGACTCTCCTATGAGCAATCTTCCTGTAGCAGAGGACACCTATAGGGTGAGCTTGGCCAAAGGTGTCTCCATGTCTCTGCCTTCATCACCTTTGCTCCCTCGACAGTCTCACTTGATGCAGTCAAGATCAAACAAAAAATCCCCAGGTAAACAGGCAGCAAAACAGTATTCAAACAAGTTGTCTTGGCTATATAAGTGATTATATGTATTGAAATTAAGTAAAACTAGTGCACCTAAGAAACCTTCCGGGAGAATGTTTTTTCTTTGCTGAAGTATCTTCTAGAAGAAGGAAATCTTTCTTATTTCTTTAGGAAAAAAGTATGGTTTTAATAGACTCATCCTGTTTGGACTGCTCAGGCTAGACTTTTACAAAGATTCAAGATCTTGTTGTCAGTACTAATGTTAACTATCAATTTTATTGTTTTCTTGCTGATAAATTAAGGAGCATTAAGCAGTCAGGCAGCACATGACAACATCTCTTTTGGTCGATGACAAACTGCGTATATGATGGTGGTCCCCTAAAATTAGAATATTGTATATTTGCTGTTCTTTTTTTTTGAGTTGGAGTCTTACTCTGTTGCCCAGGTTGAAGTGCAGTGGCATACTCACAGCCACCCCAGTGTCGACCTGCTGGGCTCCAGCAATCCTTCCGCCTTAGCCGTCCAAGTAGCTGGAACTACAGGAACGCACTACCACGCCCGGCTAATTTTTTTGATTTTATTGTAGAGACGAGGTCTTGCCGAGTTGCCCAGGCTGGTCTCGAACCCACGGGCTCAGGCAATCCACTTGCCTCGGCCTCCCAAAGGGCTGGGATTACAGACTGAGCCACCAAGCCCGGCCTGTACTTTTTTGTGTTTAGATAATTCTGGGTACACAAACACTTACCATTGAGTTACAGTTGTGTGCATTACTTAGTATAATAACATGCTGTACAGATTTGTAGCCTAGGAGCAACAGACTGTATACCCTGTAGTCAAGGTATATAGCAGGCTGTATCATCTAGGCTTGTGTAAGCACACTCTATGATGTACACAAATGATGAAATCACCTACGACACACATCTCCATAATATATTCCCATGGTTAAGCAATGCATGACTGTGGTCTAGACGTATACTTGGTGTGTTTAAAGGTTATGGATTTAGGCAAGTGTCATCTGACAGCAGTCTATTTATTACTATCAAGTATTGTATACTGGCATATTTTGCTTGATTACATCCTCCAGCATTTGAAGAGGTATAACATTTAATTGCGAGTACTCAGACTTTAAAGGCAAATGGGCAGGGTCTTTGGATTTACTCAGATACAGTATTTTGACTTCCTTCATTATTATAAACTTTTTACACATAACGTTACACAAAAAACTAAACACTACTTAACTTTGAGAGGTTCTGATTCATATGTAAGGAAAGCCTTTCCAAAGTGATGATACCTGGAATCATAAAAGTCCTTGGATATTCTTTTAGGCTTGCTGAGTATGTGTTTACAAAAGGCAGGATGATTTGGGGCCCAACTGGTCATATGCTAGTGCAAGGATTATTCTCAATCACATGTAGATATATTCAGAATTCATTTAAAATGTGCCTGGGGTTGTGAAATTGATGTCCACTTTTGTGAGTTCCTAAATATTTGTCTTACTTGAGATGACATATATGTTATTTCCAAATCATTTAGTGGATATATGAGATATATATAGGGGTAAAATTAAGAGGGCAAACCTTAAGGTTGTGAATGTTAGAATTGGTGGGTATCCAAAATCTTTTATTGTTCTAGAATTTTCTTATTTTGAACAGCATTGTTTACAATTCAGTCATTAGCTGGAACTTGGGAACCTTTTTGGTATGAAGTGATTTCCTGTGCCAAGGAATTTGACCTGTTTATCAGTATTTGGGGAAATTCCTGGAATGTCCTTCCTTCCCTCTTTGCCCTCCCCACTGCTATATCTCTTTGTCAGATTTCTTCTCTTCCTTCATAGTTCCCACACTGCCTCTCTTGGTGGATTACCCCGAGTGGAATTATTCTTTTGGAAAATTATGCACAGCATTTTACTTTTTCTATATTATCAGTTATGCCATTTGTCCTTTTCCCCTGAATTAATGTGTATATTGAAAAATGCTTTACTTGGCTACACTTTAGTCAGGCTCCTGAGCCTTCTCCTAAGTCTATCTGTGTACTTTCTTGTACAATCCAGTTTTAGCGAAGAAACTCGCTAAGTCAGTTGAGCAAGAATCACCCATCCTCCAATCTGAATGGATGCCTCATCCTCCACCATCCCCCAGGTAATGTCTGATTACCCTGGCCTATCTTCAGCAAGAATCCCCCTTACCCCTGAGGTTTCCTCTTTGTAGTTTGCATTTGCTGACTCCCACCCTGATCGCTGGCTATAAATTCCCACTTGCCTATGCTGTATTCGGAGTTAAACCCAATGCCCCTCCCCCGCTGCAAGATCCCATTGTGATGATCCCTACACCTATTGAGATAGTCCTGAATAAAGTCTTCCTTGCCATGCTTTTCAAAAAGTATCATTGCATAGTTTTTTTTCCCCTTTTCTTTAACAATATATGCTTCCTGTCTGATGCTTGAGGATAAGCAAGAATCTTATACCTCATCTATTTAAAAAGATAATAGAGATCATTCTAAACTTATCTGTATCCTTAAGGGCCCTCAGTCAGAGGTGTTGCCAAGTACAGAGATTTGACCTTTTAGACAATTTTCCTTCCTGTAGTCTGTGCTACTGCAAATGAATTGGTGTTGCTTGGGCCTCAGGACTGGGGAATACCTGAGAGACTCCAGGGAAGACAGCATTTCAGATATGATTTTACTGACAACAAATTCAATGTTTGAATTTGTTGGGACTTTAAGTAGTATTGAGTGTCATAGAAAGCTAGGGAAGTGTGACTACCCAGAAGGGTTTCATGGAGGCTACAGACATGGGGGCAGAGAAATTCCTGACAAGGCCTTGTCACCTTATGGACCAAATTATACATCTTTTTTTTTTTTAAAGAATATCTTGAAGGTTTTCTTCAGAGGACTGAAATTTATTTCTGCTCAGTTCTTTGCAAGGACTTATGAATAGAAGGGAGTTAGTAGTTCTGCAGCATTCAACCTTTTAATGGATTGGAGAACCATATTCTCTGTATTAGATATTGTTGGTCCAAATGGTAATTAAATAAACCAAGCAGATACATCTCTAGTAGAGCAGCACAGCAAATTCGTGTCTCACAGTAGTAATTTGGTTTCATTATCTTGGTAATTTTAATTCAAAAAGCAAAGCTAAGGGCAAAGATGCTGCTTAAAAATGGCAGTGACTCGATATATCAAATGATAAACCATATTTTTTTCCACAGTGTCTAACACACACAGATTTCTGCCTAAACCATATGGTTGGGAAAGTGTCTGGAGCCCTGATGTTCTACCTGCCTGTTTGGGGAAAAAAAAAGATGACATATGCTTGTGGACTTGCACTGGATTTAAAAATACTCATCTATTAAAAAAGCTAAAATGGCCAGGCTTGGTGGCTCAGCCTGTAATCCCACGCTTTGGGAGGCTGAGGTGAGTGGATTGCCTGAGCCCGCGGGTTCGAGACCCGCCTGGGCAACTTGGCGAGACCTCATCCCCACAATAAATCAAAAAATTAGCTGGGCATGGTGGCGCGCACCTATAGTGCCAGCTACTTGGAAGGCCAAGGTGGAAGAATTTCCGGAGCCCAGCAGGTCGAGGCTGCAGTGGCCGGGAGCAGCCACTGCACTCCAGTCTGGGTGACAGAGTGAGACTCCAACTCAAAACAAACAAACAAACAAAGCTAACATGGTTGCTGCTCATGATAGAGTAAATACAGCGTCTGCAGCAACCAGAGGTGTGGCGCCACTCCCCTCTACCCTTGCACCCCTGCACCCCAGTGGGCACTGTTCCAGGTCTTGTCATCATCTAGACCCTGCTCTGAAATTACCTTGATGACTTTTGTTCTGATTTGTAAGATTAGATCCTTTCTCTTGCTCTTGTTTAAGAATGTGCTTTTTTTAGAAAAACAAAAAACACGCCAAACCTGTTTTACTTGTTTGTTTAGAAACTCTTTACTAGCTGATGCTAATCAAGAAAACTGTCAGGGACTGGAACTATGATTCTATTAAGGGTCAAATACTATAAACCCCTGTAATAACACTCTGAGTAACACAACCTGTGTTAATAAAAATTTATATGTTAATGTAATTGGTGATTACTTCCTGTGTCTTGAAAACTGTGGGCCAGAAATATATTCATTAACCTTGCAGTAATGTGACCCTGCATTTCACATGCTTGAGTTTCTTTTATTCTGCTTATATTGAGAGAGATTTTTATTTAATCCTGTGCTACCTTCCTCCATTTCTTTATCTTTTTCCTACCGCTAGTTGGAAGATTGTTTTCTGAGTATTGTTTCAAAATTTTTTGGTTTTTTTCCAAGTGGAAAATGCATTTTCTGGTAGTGAAAACAAGGAGTAGCATCCATTAAAGAAGTTCTGGGGAGGCTACAGGTCTTTTTGGATTAAAAATTTATCAATATTTGTAATGTATACTTTTGTTTTCCAGAGAAAAGAAAAGCCCATTTCCTGTGGTTTATTAGTAATATCATTAGATGCTTTATACAGTATTTGCATGTCTTTTGCCAGATTACTTTGGGGTTGTTCTCAATCAAAAGGTCATGCCTAACTGGGCTCGGTGGCTCAGCCTGTAATCCCGCGCCTTTGGGAGGCTGAGGTGAGTGGATTGCCTGAGTCCGCGGGTTTGAGACCCGCCTGGGCAACTTGGCAAGACCTCATCTCTACAATAAATCAAAAAATTAGCTGGGCATGGTAGCGTACGCCTGTAGTTCTAGCTACTTGGAAGACTGAAGCGGAAGGATCGCGGGAGCCCAGCAGGTCGAGTATGCGGTGGCCGGGAGTGGCCACTGCACTCCATCCAGTCTGGGTGATAGAGTGAGACTCCAACTCAGAAAAAAAAAAAAAAAAAAAAGATCATGCTCGAGTGCGAAACCAGCCTTTGAAATACTGTGATGGAATTGTGACAGGTGGGCGATATACTCCTTATGTGGGGATGCTGAAGAGTGCTGGTCACTTCTGCTTCTGCCAGTCCCACTTGCACTTGTGTCTCGCAGTTGGCATTGCTGATGC